GTCATCCATTGATTGCTTTGAGTTTTCCATTTTTCATCACACTATTGATATTTGGAATGGCCTTCCGGGCTCCCTGTGTGAGCTATGAAACGATCAATTTGTTCAGGAATCGCTAAATTTTTTTTTCACTGATCAGCTTTGTGTACTTTGGTATAACTATCATTTAAAGCGCACGAAAAACAGACATAAAGAGAGGACGAGCGCTTTCTCGCAACTAAACTGTTTATTAGAAAGGGCGGAATATATATACAGGCAACTGAAAAACACGACTCATGCATGTGCAGGCAAAAAAGTACATCAGTGGCACATCAAGAACACATGGTAAAAGAAAACAGATTATCTCGGAACATACTCAAGAAAACCGAACTCCTTATCGTGCAGCAAAACAGAAGGCTGGCTGACGCATTGATCCCCTCTTTTTCTTATGTGAAACGCTTCTGTCAACTCGCGAGTTAATTTATTATTTGACCGAAAAACCACTTCAGTATCCTGAAAAAGAGGGTGACAACCGCACTCTCTGCAATGAGCCGCAAGATGCGATGCACCTACAGATTTCAAGGAAGAATCGTGCTCTCTGAGACGAACATTGACGCATCTTCCCGACTGACCGATATACACTTTACCACAGCTAAAAGGAGTCATGTAAACAACGCCCATTGCGCACTCCACGAACTTTTTGCTGTGCTTTATGTGACATTGCGGAAACTCTTTGCGCATGCGTGAACAAATAGACTGTAGTTTGCCTTTGGCTGAGAAAAGCACATCGACTTTATATCTATTAGCTAATAGCTTAAGTTCATGTGAAGTCTTATGAAGGTAAGGAATCACTGATATCCTCCTATCCTTTCTGCTCTCTTCACGACGCTCCGAGTGATTCCCTTCAAATTTAAGTTTCTTAATCATGTTGTTACAAACTGACGTAAAGACATCATTAGGATACCCTGCTTCTACTAGTTTCTTTACTTGACTATGAAAGCTCATTTTCATTCTGTGTTGACAGGACTTTTTTAGAGCAAAACCCAAACTCGTAGTAACGATACCTCTCTTCACCAGCTTAGAGTGGCTCGACCTGTAATTAAGTATAGGCTTTACAGATCTGGGACAATAAAACCAGCAAACATGCTGAGGTTCAAAGATCAAGTTGAGATCTAGAAATTGCAGTTGATTTAGTCGCGGCAATGCAAAAGAAAAGTTTAGTTTCCTGCCTGTTTCCTTAAATATCTTGACGATATTCACAACATCTCGCATAAAATCGGAGGACGTAGTGAACACAAGAAAAGACTCTCGCATGCGCAAAGAGTTTCCGCAATGTCACATAAAGCACAGCAAAAAGTTCGTGGAGTGCGCAATGGGCGTTGTTTACATGACTCCTTTTAGCTGTGGTAAAGTGTATATCGGTCAGTCGGGAAGATGCGTCAATGTTCGTCTCAGAGAGCACGATTCTTCCTTGAAATCTGTAGGTGCATCGCATCTTGCGGCTCATTGCAGAGAGTGCGGTTGTCACCCTCTTTTTCAGGATACTGAAGTGGTTTTTCGGTCAAATAATAAATTAACTCGCGAGTTGACAGAAGCGTTTCACATAAGAAAAAGAGGGGATCAATGCGTCAGCCAGCCTTCTGTTTTGCTGCACGATAAAGAGTTCGGTTTTCTTGAGTATGTTCCGAGATAATCTGTTTTCTTTTACCATGTGTTCTTGATGTGCCACTGATGTACTTTTTTGCCTGCACATGCATGAGTCGTGTTTTTCAGTTGCCTGTATATATATTCCGCCCTTTCTAATAAACAGTTTAGTTGCGAGAAAGCGCTTGTCCTCTCTTTATGTCTGTTTTTCGTGCGCTTTAAATGATAGTAATACCATGCATATCCAACTAGCCCAACTTTCGATTCTGTTTGTGTACTTTACTGATGTAATGTTCATTCAATGGGTATACTCGTTTTCTTTTATATTGTATTTTATCTTGCGTGTGCACTCATTCCTGCAATATCTTGCATTGCAAGATGACAGTATAAATAAATAAATAAATAAATAAATAAACAGAGAGAGAGGGAGAGAGAGAGAGAGAGAGATCTGTCAGAAAGCTACCCAGTTAACGTGAACAAACTAATCCCAAACTAAAACCTAGTTTTTGAGAAACTCTGATCACTGCCTTTCTAGTTTCAGGTATATGAGCAAGTAGATGGTATTTTTTTTAGATGAGTTGATGAGTTAGTAACTCAGCACGAGCGTCAGTACATGAAGTAGACGTCAGCTGTTGAACCACCTCCTATGCGTGTTCAAAGTTTTCCTGTGCCAATATCTCTGTAGCGTGACGGACACGTCGTGACGGACAAGGGCACCGTAACACGTTGCTAACGCCAGTTGAGGCATTCATCGAAGAGAGACAGGCGCCTGTCTGTCCCTTTCCTTCCGTCATTTTTATGTTCCTAGCTTTGCGCCAGTTACGAAACGTTCATCAAACTAAGCCACCAACTTGTCCAAAAAACAAGTTCTTCTAAATTACTGGATTAAATTTATCTTTCTATCTCGGGTCTGTGTTACGACAACTGGAAGCCTGGCAGATTTAACGTGCCGTCATGCCCCCGGAAACACCTGACAAGCTGACTCAGCCGGCTGCAACTGTCAAGCACGTGCACGCCAATGCTCCTGCACACATGTGCAGCAGCATTAGCGTGTATACCGAAGGAGGTTACGTGGGCTGTGGTGTAATGGATGTGGAACGCCAACACTCTCGCCCACAGTAATTTCAGTACTCGACGTGGCATTAGCGTTTAGTGGTAAATATATCGCCCTGTTAGCTTTGACTGCGTAGGTTAGATTCCAGGATAGATCGTCAGCATGTTCCACGAAGGCGACATCCATATACATACATGGAACTATATATTTTTTGCACGTGAAAGAAGTCCACGTGTTATGAACTTATTCGAAGTCTCATCCCACCGCGGTGTCTCCTAAGCATGTCTTAGATACCGGATGTAGTTTTCATTTCAGTCGTGGACTGAAGAGAATACCAAGTATTAAGCTCACATTGAAACAGCTTGGTGAACGCATAGTGAGGTATCGAGCTAGTCGGATCTGCTTAATTAAAATACGACTGCAACAGTTGCAGGAACATAAGAAGTTAGAGAAGACACACGTTGCGAAGTAGACACAAGCAGCAATCTTGTCCACTTCATATCGTGTGTACTCCCCAAATTCTTATGCCCGGTAACTGTAGTGCCGTATTTTAATGAATATATACTCTTTATTCACCTCACTCTCAAAGCTCGTGATAGTGAAAGAGAGCTTAATGAAATCAACAAACAATGTTTCGATATGAGTATTTACGGTATACATTGACCGAAGACCAAACAGATACGGTGGTTGGGGGACTACCCATACATAGTTAAAGATCACATTTCTATGTAAAAGTGCAAAACTATCGATTACCCTAAAGGTCTTATGATTTTTAACGGTGGATGGCCTTCACATAGACAGTGAGCCGTACTTAATACAATACTTCTGAGGCTACGGCCATGGTTATTAAAATTTTACAGTATTAACCCTTCGCAACAGCGAACCGAGAGCTGTACGACATATTATCCTGCCACTTGCATATGAACATATCTTGCCGCGTTCGTTTCCTCAAGTTTTGTTATCGCTCCGTGACATGTGCACTGCAGTACGCAATTCCCAGCGCAAACCGCGCCTGCAGTGTTCGAGAAGCTTCGGGACTGTAGAAGATCAGTTCTTTAAGATTACTCCCACTCAGCGAACTATATAGATTATTCTGGAACCTACGTGGCCGCTAGCGATAACGGTAGAATACTCAATAGCACACGCATAAATGCCGACCCACTTCACCGCTTGTCAGTTGATCGACGGCCGACGCTTTGTTCACCGCTATGCATCGGTGTCAGTTTGTATCGCTGTAATCATTCTTTTCATTTGTTGGCTGCAAGTTCAGCCGAAATAAACAGTTTCATCTTCGATCCATAAACTTCTGCTTTCGTCCACGTCACGACCCCGCGACAATATTAAAAAGTTCCCACTAGGTGGGGTGAGTCAGCCTGATTTGATCATGAAAAGAAGCGGATGTCCGTTTATTACATGAGTTCGTTTATTGCATGATTGTTATTACACGTTCGCGACTCACACTTTGATGGTTGCCCAGTTACCGCTGCACTGGTTACGCTAGACGCGCGTGAAAACAGGTTGTCTAATCAAATCAGTCTATATATCTTGGTACTCGTGGCATCTGGTCATTTCTTGTAGACGATAAACTTTTAATTCATATTCGAATTTCTACCATCTTATTGATGGGGTCGAGGACTTAAATTTGGTCTCACCACTACATATAAGCATTCTAGAGTTCTTGAGGGTTCCACAGTTTTGTGAGGTGACATCGTCAGTGACTTTAACACACAATATAATACGTGGCTGTGTGGTGAAACACCCTATACCCAAACACTTAGTCTTTGGCCTCCTGTGAAAGTGTACCTGTATTTTTTCAATTTGACTAAGTCAAAGCGAGTTTCCACGGGCGAAGCGTTCATTGTCGTAATATATTTGACATTTGTTCTGGTTTGCTATTTCACGCTGTTTACTTCTTAATTTTGGTTTGCGAAAGTTTTGCGGTTGTGGGCGTTAGAACAGTAGAGTGCTCGAGGTGCCATGTTAACATGTGTTAATTACGGCATAATTTTTCACGTAATTAACCTTCGTATTGTAACAGGGAGTATAATGGTCGGCCGCTGACCCCTATATACGACGTCTGCTCGATTCCCATCTTAGCGGTTACGTCACAGATGAGAATAAATCCTTCAAGCACCTGTACTGCAAAATTTTAGCTCTCCTTGAAGAACCCCGTGTGGTCTAAATTAGATAAATGCCTCATTTCTGGGGCCTGCCCTAGACAGAGTAACATTGGGATGTTCAACCGCATAACCTATAAGCCCAGCATTTCTTTGCCCAAGACAGCAGTGAGTCGAGGTCGAAGAGATACAGTAAAATTTGCACTTACTTGAGCATGACTTAAGAGTGGGTGTTTGCACAGAAGCTCGTGCAAGGGGGGGATATGTAGTGATCGCTACTAGTAATAACGCAGAAAGCATCTTTCCACTCGTGCACGCGTTAACGTGTCATGCCGGGAAAGAATGTGGAGGCGAGAATTCGCAGAGCGCTTAAACGGCTGTGGTTGCCTCTATATGCAGGTGCCATCACAGCGCAGGTTGGACGGCAAAACGAAAAAATAAATAAAGCATTAAACGCGCAATCAGCAGCGCCGAGCTTACGCTAAGCAGAGCCGTATACTTAATCAGCTGCTTGCTCAGGCTTACGCGGCGTTTACTGGGCTTAGACTACGCAGATGCTTTATTCATTTGGCCTAAAGGCGCAAAACGGCATTACGTGATAGCGGCGGTGCTCTCAATTAAACAAATAATACGCGCTAAAGCAGAAATAATGGAAAAGTGCAATCAATAAAAGCAGCGAATGCGCAGTGCAACGGTGCTTCTTCGACCCAGAAGACCCATCTGCACATAGAAGCTGGCCCGGGGCCAAATAATCTTTTTAGGGAGGAGAGGAGGAAGAGGTGCACTTGTTGAAGGAGTTAGAAAACGTATTTTCATTCTTTATCCTCGGCAAAACGCCTCCCATTATTGGAAGGACCAGGGGCCTTATAGGGCACCTCCCCATGGCTACTGGCCTGCTTGAGAGGCACACATTCCAGACACAAAGACGGTACGCATTTTAGCAGACATACTGCATGTAACATGCGCAGAATCTGAAAAGTGGTGCGAGTTCTTCATTATTTGAAGACATGAACTGCGCTAGGGACAAGAGAACAGTAGAAGACAGGACGAACGCAGACGCCACCGCTTTCTTCTACATTGGTGTCTTGTCCCGAGCACAGTCCCAGTTATGAACAAAAAAAAAAAAGTACCAAGGGTCTCCTATGCACACAAATAATATTACTGGAAGCTGGAAACAACCTTCTTTTTCTTTCCCCGCCCCTCCACGCTCCGAAAGGTTTCTGTACCATATGTGATTTGGCATTGCCTCCAGGATCAGAGGGACCTCGCCCAGTTTTGCACTGCCTCCAGATATGCCCTCGTTTGACTAAGTGGAAATGTCATTTGATGACGTCGTGGTGTGATGTCAGTTGCGATGAAGTCATAGTGACGCCATCATGATGTCATCACGACTGCACAAATGTCGGTGACAGCATTTAACGACATGAAGTGTATCACCCTCGTTGACGCCGATGTGGTTCGTCGGTTGATTTTCGTGTTTGATGAAGCACCTAAGTTTTGCTTTAATAATGCCTCGTACCAAGGAGCCTCCGAACATACGGCCCTTCAATACTTCGTGCTCATTTAAATAAAACAATGTATGCGAGAAACATATAAATTTTGGAAAAAAATACGACATACACTATAGAAAAACAAACCGCCCGCACTTTCCCACGGGGGGAACTCGAGAAAATGTGTCCCAGAGTGGGGGACGGGGTGTCGCGTGAACGCTGCGTAATTTAGTATGGTTTGGGAATGCCTAACTGTTATTTAGCATTTAGCATTTTTATTTATTGAATGAAGGAGAAGCGTTGTGTTCAACGAGTGGTGGGACGCTGATGTTGGGTTGCGCCCCACTACTGCTTGAAGGCAGTGGTTGAAGGTACTGTTGATTCCATTGGTTCTGCTCGAGCCAAGCAAGGCTTCAAATCAAGCGAAAGTCAAACAAGGACCCTCTTGCCTGAATTTCGAACGCGCGCTCCGCCGCTTCTACACACCGCCCGCGTTCGAGGAAGAGCAGTACGGGGAAGAGGTCTGCACCCCCACTGCTTATGCTCGGCTTGCTGAACACTCGAAGTGCCTTATCCTTCAATGGTTGCTGGAACGAGAGACAGTTTTGCGGTTGTCTTTCTGGGCCGGCACGAGACGCGAGCATGCGCAGCGGTGGTGCAGACGGCACCTACGCCGAAGCGCGATATCGTGCGACTAAGAAATGCTCCGCATTTAAAACAACGCCATTACACAATGACGGCTTCAATGAAGGTGTGGAAGGATCGTGCGTGCGTACGTTAAACAAGTGTACTGGCTTAGCGAGAACATTCACCTGATTTGAAGCAGATACTATTTCATGCAGAAGCATATTGCAGCAGTGGTACGTAAGCTTCTGCGGTCTTAGCACACACCTCTGCACGTCTGCCTCCAATCAACGGCGTACGCATCTGAAGCAGACCATAAATCTAATAAAATAGCCAGGACCACGAAATCACACACAGCCTGTTCCAAACCCTGTCAAAGCCCTCATCAAATACCAAACACCCACCATTGTTGCCTAGTGGTTATGTGGTCCAGCGGTTAACCGGATGACCCGGGGTCGTATACCGGCCGCGGGGCCCGGGTCTCCCTTAGATGGGGGCCCGTTACTAAAAGCCCGTTTACTTAAATTTTAGACTCATGTTAAAAAAATCCGGCCAGTCAAATTTGTGGGGCCTTCCATTACGGCGTATATCACAGCCGTAATGAAGTTTCGGGACGTAGAACACCGACAATTATTGTTAATTCTGCACTAAATGAATATATCCAAATTGTCTCCATTACTTTATTGCTAATCTTCTTGGAGTTGATTATCCCGTATTCAGCGTCAAAGCTTCTGGAGCACCTTGCACTGATCGCCGACTGAGAAAAATTGATATGGGTGAAAAAAGAAAACGCGGCTGAAGGAATCCTGCTTGTTCACGCTTGTCGTTTTGGCCCTAGATTTCAACGACCCTTTAAAATAACATTTTGGCCACTGGAACAGACGAGGTTGCCTCAATCGCCGAAATGCTTCACTTCTGAGTTCGCGATGGCTTATCTGGAGCCAAGAGTAAACAATGAATAATGATATGAATTCACCTATACCAGTTTTCCCCAATTGGTTGCGGAGATTATTATGGTGTGGCACGATTTATTGATGTCATATGGGCTTTCCCATGTCGCATCCTTCACGCAACATTTGTACGAGTCATGTGGACACTAGCGCGCAGAATAATTAGTGCATATACCCTTCTTGTCACTGCTGCTATCAAAAGATATCGAGTCAGCTGTGACCGTTCATCACGCCAGACAAGGCGTCATTAAACGTCACCGGCCAGGTCCAGCTGTTTGCACTGCAAAGTCGTATACTCGAAAACAGGTTGAGACTGAAAGCACAGCGTTATCACTCGAACGCTAGTACATAGATCTTCATGCCATTTTCAGCTGACCTAGGTGTATTTTTCTTGTTATTTTTATTCTTTCATAACGCAACGGCAACTTTCTGTGTCAGCGTTGTTGCTAGACGCGTCACCGTGTGGTAAATTAAGGGGCTGCGTTCATGAGAGCGGATGTAGATAGTACGCCTTGCAGTATGAGAGTAAAAAAGAAAATGCAGTAAAAGCGTTGTATAACAGCACCTGGAGTGTCTGGCGTCACACGCACATTGCGCACGTTTTTCCTCGTATGATAGCCCATCTTCATGAAACCTGAGCACGGGGCAGTTTCAGCAAATTGCCGATGAACTTTGGGGAATGGTTATGCGATTTGGAGGCAAAAGATTCCTGTTTTGCCAATGGCAGCATTTCTGCTTAAGTACGCCGTACGCTTATATACGTGTATTGTTCGCTTATTTTAAATTCCCTCACCTTAAGCCTTGCTTCTGTCCTAAGTGTGAGATTGAGTCTGTAACCACGCAGGTAATTCAGTTGTTAAAGCGAAGCCTCGGATCTCACATCAAACACGAAAATGGACCACCGCCATCGGCGTCCTGTGGTGCCTGCGTCAACACGAGTAATGCAAAAAATCAAGTGATGTCACTACGACATCACATACAGTGGCATCAAATTACTATGACGTCACACGACACCGTAAATGGTCATTGGCCAAAAGTGGGTGGATCACGGAAGTAGTAAAAAATCACGTGAAGTGCAGAAAGTTTTCGGAGGGGGGGCGATCGAGGACGGGTCTGTACATCCACTGAGAAGGAAAAGAATACGTCTTCGAGTGTGCCACTAGTGTAACGCGCCGTTATATAGTTATTACGTGTCGTGCATCTCCTGCACAAAGTTTTCTGTGCAAAACTTTGTTCATTTACACTTCAGACTGGTTTTAGTGGTTGATTGGGCGTGTTGGTACGACATATTGGAAGGAAACAGCGCGAAAGGCGAGAGACCAGACAAAGAAGGACACATACACAGCGCTGACTTCCAACCAAAGTTTATTCTTCAAAGCACGCAAACATACCAACGCATTGGAACGTAAAAAAGAGAAACAAAAGTTATAGACAAAGATAAATGAAAATTGAACATGATAAAGTCATTATCAAATCGTATTGAATAAGTCTTTTTTCTGAGAGGGTAATGAGAAAGCTGCTTTTCTGTGAAACGCTTTATTGTCGTGCGAAGGGATTTTTCGCTAAAGTTGGGTCATCATCAAATGCTGCTGGCGGAATCGCCCAATACTTTTCTGGTATTCAAGGAGCATCTATATGAACTTGAAACAATTGCCAGCCACCCGTTGCACCGCCGTTCTTCACTTTGTATTCGACAGTTATTGCCGTCGGTGCGCGCTGAAATAGACGGCGAAAACTGAGATATAAAAAAAACTCCAGAAGCCCGTTTCATAGTTTCTTTGTGTTGGTGAGCTCTTCAAGTCATTGGCGCCATTCACCTACGCTAGTAATACTTTTTAAACCTTGATGCTCTACATTACGCATGTAAAATTTCAGAAAAATTTGATCTCCCAACGTCAAACAAACATTTAGTGTTGAGTAACTGATACTGGCATCAGGTTTTGTTTTTGTTTTTATCTGGTTTGTAAGAAAGGCACGCATGCTTCCTGTATACACTGAAAAGGCAAGCGCTGTTACGTGGCATGACCATAACTAAATGGTACGCGACGCATATTTTCATAGAACATCTGCACCATGTTTTGATGATGCGCTGTTCAGCTATTTCACAATATCTAACAAAGTCGCTCAATGTTCTTTGTTTCAAATATTTCGTGCCTTTCATAATGAGATAAACAAGAGTTAGTTAACCTTAGGTTCTTCTATAAGATTAGTTAACCTTAGGTTCTTGCTTAAGAGAAAAACCCCATTGGAAGTTTTAACCCTCCCCGGTGAGCCGTCGTATCCAGTGGAGCCCTGAAATAGGGCCCCACCCGACATAACCAAGAACAACAAAAATTCGAAAAAAAATCATCCCTAATTTTTTTAATCTTCAACCAGGTGTTTTAATGCGGGAATAACAACTTAAAATTGCGCCACTTACGCCAATAACAGTCTGTATTATTGGGTACAGCCGTGCGCTCGTGGACTCCCGAATTGCGGTCGCGGGAACCGGGCACTCGTTGTTCCACAGCTGTCCGAGGAACTTTTCCTCGTTTCTGATTCCCCCACAAAGCTTGTAGACGCTACAACAGGAAAACGCAAAAGTTTTTTTTTGTGTGTGTGTGTGATAGTGGGAGCTCTTATATTGGACGTTTCGGTAAGGAGGTCATACGACTAACGTGTTCTGGACAGCTGACGCAAACAGAAGAAATGTTTACAATCCCGATCTTCAGCGCACCCATGTTTATCGCTTGATATACGAACATATCGAGAAATTACTGAGTGACTTATATGAATCCTGAAATCAAATGCAGCGTATGCTATTTAACTAGTTAATGGCATCGTAAGTTCGACAATGTTTAACACGAGCATAAAAGGGGAGGTAAAAGAAAACATTAACAATATCATACCACGAGCCTCCCCGTTGAGGGCGGGAAACTTTCCTTCCATTCTGCTTGGTGACGGTCACTTCCAGTTTTGGTTCATCCACAAGTTTTTCGGCCACCATGAGAGTAAAATTCGCTGTCATCTTTCTCCCGATCGTAGCATCTTCGACGGTGACGTCAGTAAACCTAAACTTCTGGTCACCTGCAAAGTTGAAATATTTTCACACACAAGCACTACCCGTTTCGGAAGCCATTCTCCCTTTAGTGATCATCATCATCATCGTCAGCCTCACCGCGCTCATATCAGAGCAAAAGCCTCTCCCATGATCCGCCAATCAACATGGTCTTGTGCTTTCTGCTGCCACCTTATACCTGCGAACTTTTTTATTATAATCGGCCCATTTAACTTTCTGTCGTACCTTCGTGCGTTTGCCTTTTCTGGAAATCGAGTCAGTTCCCCTTAATGACGAGCGGTTATCCTGCCTACGTGGTATACGTGCCCGGCCCATATTCATTTTTCTTCCTTGATTTCACCAATGACATCCTTAACCCCGCTTTCTTTCCTGACCGACTCTCCTAAGGTTGCTCTCATCCTTTTCTTTTCAATCATTTCAATGAGACTGCGCGTATAACAAAGATTACTCATCTGTTGCACATGAACGCGAAGGAAATCGCTAAGGTATGAAGGACTTACTTGAACACGCTGTAAGCGCAGGAGTCTGCAGTGTCGCGCCACCTAGCGGTGAGCCCACCGCCACAAGAATCAACAGTGCGAAGAACATCTCCAAGCAGTGTTCTTTGCATTGTCTGTGAGCGTGGAAAAAAACATGCCAACGGCGCCGTTGTTTACAACTATCCTTATATCTGTGCTAGCTACCTGCGGGATACATTACAAACGAAAGGGGTGACTAAACGACATATCGCAGAAAAAAAGATAACTATAGGCTGTCATATATATAAAGCTGCAATGTGACGTAACTATGACATTGCAGAAAACTGTTACAGCTCGAGGGACTAGGCGACAGTGCGCTGAGGGTTGTGAAAATGGTGATAAATGACCCAAGTAGAATGCTTATGTATGGGGGCAGATAAACGTTAAATGGGCTTTGTACCTGGCCTGCGGGCGTAGCTCTTCACAGCAGCGCAGGATCTATACTGAGATTGCAAGCTTACTTTGTTTAATTTTATGGGAATGGAGTGGTTCGATGTGAAAACGATGAACGACATTGGTACCAGTCGTGGTAGGTTAGAGGCTGTGGTGGGCCCCGCTAACCACGAAGAGGTGGTTTCCATTCCCAGATCTAGCGGCCACCGGGGTAGAATGCAAATGCACGTGGGGTTAATAAACACTAGGTGGTCATAATGAATTGATTGTTCACCACTACGGAGTGGCAAAAATTGTGTCTAGGTTTTGGTAACCACAGAATTGTGGCGCTTCCCTTTGTACTTCTTTCTGTACACGATAGCTTTCTTGTACTTGCTTGACTGACAGTCAGCAAGTACAATTTACGTACAACAAGGACTGACAGACAGCAAGAAATGGTTTTCAGGGTACATAGTAAGAGTTCGACTACGCATAACAACCGCACACCTATGTGGTGGTTATGCGGACTTCGAGCATGTCCTGGTCGGCTTTCCCAAAGATAAAATGAAGCTCACTAAGGCCTAGAACTTGGCTTCTGAAATCTTGGCCGTCCAGGGGCTCACGTGAGGGATGTGAGGGTTGACTTGATTATTCTGAGTGGGCCTAGCCAGGAGACAAAAAGCTTACTCGCGTCTATTGTGGACCGAATAAGGTTGTTTCGCTCACCCACTCACCCACTACGATCAGCGGCTTCCTTGTGCAGCGTACGATTGGTTGGCTGACTGATTTATATGTGGGGTTTAACGTCCCGAAACCACCATAATGTTGTGAGAGACGCCGTAATGAGGGGCTCCGAAAATTTTCACCACCTGGGCTTCTTTAACGTGCGCCCTAATTGGAGCGCACGGGACTACAGCGTTTTCGCCACCATAGAAAATGCAGCTGCCGCTGCCGGGATTCAATCCGGCGACCTGCGGGTCAGCAGCCAAGTGCCTGATACACTATACCACCACGGCGAGGCTATGCTGCGTACAAATACGTATGTATGTAGTGACCGGCAACTGAACTTTTTGTATTTCATGTACGGTTTCTCTTTATCGTCCGCGTGCTGTTTCTTGGAAACCAGCGTGTAAGGGATAACAACCAGACGAGGTAACTGCGGGATCCTTCCAGGCAAGGCTGCTATCTTTTTGCTATACTTTGCGTCAGTTTGGCTACTTTTATAGGAGGTTGACGACCGAAAAAATGTCTTGGTTGCTAGACTAATCTTTTGTTACTTTCTTGTTCGCGCGATTTGAAGCAAATGACCGATATCTCGTCGTGGTGTCCCAGCCGGTGGAACTATAGTAGGCGGTGTCAAAATATGGCGTGTAACACGTGTTTCTGTCTACCAAACTTAATTTCGCGCTTTCGTAAAACAAAATGACAGACCTTTGAATATGTGGCATTGACTGGAGCTAAAGCTCTTCGATGGGTCGTCACAAGTCACACCATATATGACTGACTTTACACCTCAATTGGAAGTGAATTAGACAATGGAATGAGAATGCGCTTTGCATCTACGATGTACTGCGCTCATCGACACTGGACTTCGGATAGCAGCGGTGAACTGTCTCGTATTTCTCAGCACGAGGTACGGACTCGGGAATGTTAACTCCCTAGACTCTCTCTTCACGCGAGAAACTATTGTTAAAGTGGATACAGTATACGCTACGATAAAAAAAAAACTCTGATTCTGAGCATCGATATGTAATACTTTTTTTATTATTGCCGCAATGCCGATACTTTCAGTTCTTTTAAATTCTCGCAATACGTGCGAATAGATTGCCATTTCTTTATTGTCACCATAAACTTCTTCATTCTGCTCAAATTACTGATAAAGTCAGGCAGTCCTGCTTTGTTCTCCGCATGCAGTGATAAGTTCTTACTGTGCTTAATCACATTTACACCACAAGGGTCTTGCACTTAGCCACCCAAGTAAAAACGTCCTTGTGGCATTCAGACAGGCATGGCTAAATTTGACTATTTTCCTTCGTTCAGTCAGTTCAAAATGTTTTTGGAGCTACTTTGTCTTGCTACTTGACTTTTTTCTGTCATTTTCACGAGTCACGAGTTATAAATTGTCTCGAGAATCCCCTAATTCGCATGACATGATTCCAAAGCACTCACTGTTACATTTCAAGAAATAAAATGAGGAAATGCTTTGTTTTGAGTTGGTTTCAGTACTTAGATTTATTTGCGTAACTAAATATCTGCACATCCTGAAATCAGCCAGCTCCATATTTGAATAAAGAATAAAAAATTAGGCCTGAAATGTAGGCAGAGTTTCTCATGTCATTTTCGTTTCGACAGAAGAAAAAAAAGTATTGACAATGGTCCTAGAACGTGGCACGTCGTACAATCGTCGAACACGGTAGTGTGTCGAGCAAAGGGATCCTCTGCAGCAATAAGCAGCCTAATGAAGTTAAATGATCGCTGGTTGTTCGCTAAGGAAGCCTGCACGATTGTGCAAGCTAAGTTTCAAGTCATTTCAAGAAACCCGCGGTGTGTCACGTGTCACTGAAGTTGTCGTGTACAAATGTACACATCATGATTGAAAGGTGGAGATGCGCTATAGTTACCCGTGTGACATATAGACCCCTTATCGGCGGCCGCCTCTCCTTGATATCAAATATTGTGGATCAAAGTTTCACACGAAATTTTATGCAACGGTAACTTTCTTTGTTGAGACTATTTAGAAACACACTCTCCTGAAGGATGCTGAGTGGTTTATTTTTGTCTAGTTCAAAGTCGAGATGCACGCGAATGCGACAGTTCAAGTGGATGACATGAAAGTCAAGGCATGTCCATATGCGACGACGAAATGAAGCAAGCAATGAGTTTGTTTCGCATGGCACTTATAACTGATTGCTAAGCCATGCGTCAAGTTTTTGCTCATTCCTCCAAACCAACAGCCTTCTCCTGCATGCCTCCGACTAGTTTCTGTTTACCGCGTCTTATCTCCACTTTAAATGACTGACAACCCACGGTTTTATTACCGTTAGTCACTTCAAATCGCATGGTAAACTTCGTTGGGGCAATCTGAAAGAAAAATAAAATGGTATGAACATTCATTTCAGCACAAAGATGGCAATAGAACCAAGGCCAAGCAAAAAAACCGGGCTAAGAAAAAGAAGTGTTCTTGCGTTCTATGCAACAGAAAAGTGATAGCTAAATACCACAAAGGAAAAAAATTTAAAACATGTTATTTGGCCCCTAATTCACAAGCTTATATATTAGTACTTCATTGGTAGTGTTGTGGAACGAAACCACGTCACGACATAGCTGTCATGATCGAGCTTTTCCGTGTGTCGCAGATGAAAACTCTCATCGTGAAACGATGTGTGGCGTGTTCATCCTCTTTAAGGTGTCCCCCACCATCGTCTTCGTCTTTCTCTTTTGGTTCGCTCCCACAACACGTACACAGATTTGTCCGTCGTGCCCTGATGATCGAGAGAACGAATACAGAGGGAAAGAAGGAAAGAAAGAGAAAGAGAGAAATTACTTTTCGGTGAAAAAAAAATTGCTTTGCAAGACAAGATTTGAAGCCTCCTACCCAAAAAAATCTGATTGCGCCCGAAATAATGGCTCGGCGAATCAGGCACGCTGGCAGAGCATAGTACAGTTTTTTGATATAGTAGTATAGCAAGGGGGCAAAAAAACTTTGATAGTGAGGGGAAATATGTGGAGGTGGAGAGGAAGGAAAGCAAATGTGGAAGGCAGAAAGTAAAGCACAGCGTAAAAATGGTGAAGGGAGAAACATAGAGAGTGAAAGAAAGAAGGACGGCGGGAAAGAGAGATAATAAAAATACACAAAGAAATAGAACGAGAAAAGGACATAAAATGAAAGAAAAAAGGGTAAATAGAGATAAAAAAGGAGAGAGATGTTGAGAAGAAGGCGAGTAGAAAGCGCACGTCACAAAAAGAAATAGAAGAATAAAGAAATAATTCCAATAAAGCTATGACAAAATAGAGCAAGCATAACTCTGTATGGTACAATGCAACAAAGGTTGAGAAAAAGAGAGGTGAGATGGTAAAAACCTAGCGAACGGTGACCAGTTAGATTACTACCAGCTCTGCGGCGGCGCAGCCGAGCAAGCTGCGATAATTTTTTTTCTTGCAATTCTTTTATGTCTATCTGGCACATGATGAGTTCCTTGTCCGAGTTTCATTCTGTCATTTTGCTCCTCAAACAAACCTTTGGCATTCCAGGCTCTCTTTCAAGACATTACGGCAATACATTTGCTTTCTTTAAACATTGATTGGTTGATTGATTGATATGTGGGGTTTAACGTCCCAAAACCACCATATTATTATGAGAGACAGGAAATTTCGACCACGTGTGGTTCTTCAACGTGCACCCAAATCTGAGCACATGGGCCTACAACATTTCCGCCTCCATCGGAATGCAGCCGCCGCAGCCAGTATTCGATTCCGCGACCTGCGGGTCAGCAGCCGAGTACTTTAGCCACTATACCACCGCGTTGGGGCGGCAACTCTGTCTGAGGCTTTTCCACTGTTCACCCAGATTATACCATTGCAACTTTTTTGGGTTATTCACGGATACATGATAACGTAGTTTAAACAATGTATGTGTTCCATATATAAAAATACGTGGTTCAACGTTCCAAGACTAAGACGTGTCTTTGAGGCACATCGTAATAGTGTTATGTGGGATTTTACGTCCAAAGGCCATGATATGATTATGAGAGACGCGGAAATGGAGGGCTCCTTGAATTTCGACCACCTGATATACTGTAACGTGCGCTGACATTGCAAAGCACACGGACGTCTAACATTTCACCTCCATCAAAATGCACCTGCCGTAGCCGGTATCGAACCAGTGACCTTTGAACCAGCAGCCTAGTACTTTAACCCCTCCTCTGTCGCATCGGGCAAGAGAAAAATCGTGCGAAAGGCATCCTATATTAGGAAAGCCCGGGGATCTTGTATCGACACTAATGTATTTATAACTACTCGGAAGTTCTCGCTTCTATAGCTAGCTGCGAAATACAGCTTTGGTTTAGCTTCTTCCTGAGCTGACTATTCGTACAGTTCAGATAGCACATGAACATCACCGTGGTAGAAAACGCTCCCGTACAACAATATGGGTTCTCAAATTATGTATATAATACGTTTGTGAATTTAGGAGTTTAACTGCTTGTATACCAAAAGAAAGTAAAACTTCGAAAGATTATTTGCTCATAAATATCGTCGTGTATCTGTGCACTCATGCTCGTAATATCTTTTTCTGAAAAAAAACAAGTACCTGTAAAGGTTAAATGCTTACGAATAGTGCGATGAGTTTGCGCATTTACGCTTTTAATCATTTGCATCACTCAAAAAACATGGAACGTTATACCGTTACAACCTAACGAAAATGTAATAGGTATGTGCACTTCCACCTGCTATGACTTGTATAACAAGAAAACTAAGAATCAGCTCACAAAAAATGATACAGTTATGCACTTACTCCTATGATCATTTGCATAGCCGGAAGCATTGGGAATTGTATTACTGGAGTCTCTTCGAAGGCTGGGACTGGACAACGGTTCCCCCACATTCTCGCTAAGGCTTGTTCCTGTTTGGTTGTTCCTTCACAGAGCTTATATGTGCTGAAAAGAATCGTTGTAGATAGGTGTCACCAGGGCAACATAGGCTATTTGAGATCAGTGATCGCGGTTACAAGCGCGATCGTCCACTTTTAAAGGTATGCAGGCCACTATATTTGTAAACTTGAATGATTTCGCACATGTTCTCTTGCACTGTCCTGAGTATCGTAGACTTGCACTGCTTATTAGGATTCTGCTGTTGCGGTATTAACGCACTAGCGTGAAAGAGCTCGTTTCGCAGAAATTCTGGCGTCACCGTCAGCGTCGGTGTCGCGTTGGTATCGGGGTCGATGTGGGCATAGTTAGTTGGGAGCTAGAAATCAAGAAATATGTAAATAATTTAGCAAATTCGGATCGTACTTAAGCCGTCTGTGTGTAAAACAGCTGTATCACCACAGAAAGACAACATTGGTTGAAGCTTGGTAGGAAAAGCACTCTATATGAATGTCCTGTGTGGACGGAGTCTCCAGCGTAGAGTCGTGCCAGGCTTCAAAAGATGTAAATTGAGCAACGGGTGGCTATTTTAAAAGCCCGCCCATTACAAAGAGCTCAGAAATACTTATTCATCATCAACAGCAGAACCATCCACAAAGTGAACAGCCGTGTATAGGTTCGCGTGTTGCCCTATGAACGCTTAGTGGCCGCTTCATTGATTCACAAGATCAGTAAATATGGCCTATAGTCGGTACTCAACATCTCGGCTTAAAATAGGCGTTCAATGAAGCTTACAATGGTCACTGTTACGAGAACAGTTGTTCCTTTCTTGACAACATGGTTGAGGCCTACACCAAGGACCGAAGCAGCCTAGCAGTTCGGGAGGCAACACACACGAGACCCGATAGGGCCATTGCGATACACTCTTGAATGCGAACCTAAAGCGTCCTCCATTTTTTTAACCGATCAAAGAAGACGTGGCAGCGTTCTCGGCGAATCAGTCCCATTCGACAACAGCGCTGTTGTCGAATGTTGTATCCAAACCTCTTGACGCCTCTCATGATTGACGCCATGTTGTATCCAAACATCCACATCTGTACGTTGATACAGATGTGGATGTTTGGCAAGAGGGCGGGAACTCTGTGTTTCTAGCTCTTTCATATTTGCTCCAGCTTTCTTGCGCCGGGGCAAAAATTACAATAAGGAAGATGATGTGTTAAAGTAAAATCGTAGAATGCTTGTCAGCGTCCTATATTCTCATGCACTAATCATCTACAGCCTTTAATGGAGTATTCAGCATTTGGCGTGGTAAACAAGTTTAAACAACTGTTTTGTGGCACATCAAAAGGAAGCACACTTATTTCGACTACAAATACAGTAAGTTTACTCTCATTTATGCGATCTATATCACGTCATCTATGCATCGACAACATTTGCGTAGAACGCGCCGCGTGTTTTTGAAAAAAAAAAACTACTTAGGCAGATAAACTGGCGACCGCATTAGCTGTGTTGTCAAGCTTGCTGGAGTGTTGAACAATCGCAATACCAAATGTTCACGCGAAAACGAGCGTGTAAACAAAACCTGCCAATTCGTAGCTCAACTTGCAAATCGCAACTCAAAAGGAGAAAGGTGCAAACAAACGAAGTGTTCCTGTTCATGTGCATGTACTTCATTGTTTTGGAGAAAAGTGGATTCGCTACTAGTAAGTAATCATCAGCAAGTATGAGAAATTTCTCACTATACAACAACACTTGTATAACCAATATTTGAGTAAGTGGGATGCTTAAGTTGTTTGTAGCAGGAGCCAAACTCGAAAGTGTGATATACTTTGACTGGATGTTTGGTTTCTGGCAGACATACTTTTCAAGTTCGAGAGACAATTTTGACTCCTGTTGTTGTTACTGCATTGCTGTTAGCTTATTGTGGTCACACCAAAGCTTTCAAACTGCTTTGGCAAGAGTGCGGGGACTTCTATAGTGTGAACCAGCTATGAATCCACTATTTATTTATTTTATTTATTCAATACTGCAGACTCGAGGTCCAAGCAGGGTGGTAATACACATACAAATAAAATAATTGTGAAACGAAACAATAAATGGCGAAGAAGGTTGTTTGGTAGGTTTGTTAATTCATCACATGTATTAGTAAGACAGTTCCATTCACAAATGGTTCTTGGAAAGTACGAATACTTCAGTAGGTCTGTGCGAGCAAAATATGGGGTCAAGGCCTTTGGGTGGTGGTGTCGGGTGGGCCGGCTACTAAGGGGTGTCAAATACGGGGATGGATCTAGAGCTATTTTTTTGTTCAAAAGTTGATCAAGGAATTCTAATCTAGCTTTTTGTCTTCGCATCTGCAGTAAGGGAATGTTGTTGGCTAGCATTAAATTTGAGGGTGAGTCTAACTTGGAGTACTTGCTGAATATAAATCTAACAGCTTTTCTTTGAATACGCTCAAGAGTGTGTATATTGCGTTTTGTATAAGGATCCCATACTATGCTCGCGTACTCTACTTTTGGCCGCACAAGGGCTGTGTAACAAAGTAGTTTAACATTCGTGGGAGCACTTTAAAGTTTATGTTTAAGAAGACATGGTTTACAAAAGGCAGATGAACAAACATTGTCAATATGGAGATTCCAAGATAAGTTGGAAGTGAGTGTCACACCAAGGTATTTGTAGGAGTTTACTTGTTGCAGTGGTGAAGACCCTAATATGTATGTATACGATTGTGGATTCTTTTGGCGAGTCACTGGAAAGCATATACATTTCTTCGCGTTGAGACACATTCCCCATTTGTTGCACCATTCATATATATTGCAAAGACTAGGGCTCAGATCGTTGAAATCGTTAGTGGAACGTATTTCTTTGAACAAAACACAATCGTCTGCAAACAATCTTATTTCCACACTAGGGTGAATAACATCAACAATATCTTTGATATACACTAAAAAACTCTGAGAATAATCTGAGTCATTCAATAGAGTGGCCAATAACCAATTGAGACATACATGTTTTGTTTTAAACAATTACAGAGAAATCTCTTATGAGATCATAACAACAGCCAATTTAGGTAGTGTAGTTGTCCAATGTTACCTGTGTTCGTAGTCACTATCGAGCGAAATAAAATGAAAAAAGGCAGCTTCTACAATGTCGCGCAAAACTATATGTCAAGTAGAGCTGTTGAACACCTACCCTTTCCTGGATTGGCTGGGCTTTTATCCTCCGACCCCTCTATTCCCCATCCTTTCCTGCTGTGTGCGATGCATGGCTATGCTTGTTGGCTTTTTCTTTCATTGTCCGTTTATTTGCATTTATTTCTTTTATTTCTAATTTTATTCAAAACATTTCCCTGCTTTATTTCCATCATCTCTTTGTTTTTTCTGTTCTTCTCTCTTTGTGTCTGTTAGTTCCTTTTTTGTCTTTTTTATTTGTACTGCCATACTCTTTCCCCTCCTTGGTTCTCTCCTCCTCAGTGTTACTTCCCATTCCCAGCTCTTGGCGATGCTATACTATACAGTGCTACGCTCTGCTAGCCTGGCCAAATAGCCGATTTGTTAAGACGCTTGCCCTCGAATCTCTCCTCGCCAAAAAGAACACCAGAGTACCAGGATACCCCAACTTCTGTTGATGCTTGCCACTTCGTAATATTGCACCCACATGATTACTTCTCTAATTCCATTCACAGTTCGTGGAACTTGAACAAATAAACTATCATAATTTTTCTTCGCGCACTTTCACAACATTTCACAATCGCATGAATCAGACTCTCGCATATGTGGTGCAATCAATGCGAGTAATGGCGATACAAGCGGGAGCTCAGCGTCCTTTCGAATGACGTGCCAAAAAGCTGTTTCAGAGAAAGTGTCATACCAACTGCCGTATCCAAGTAAGCAGGGAACTTTGATACCACTCTTTTTCCTCAATGTTAGTTTCAGTTTTGGTTTGTTTCCTAGTGGTTTTGTCAGTGTGAGCGTAAACCTGGCTGTCGTGAGTTGAGAAATGCTTGCGTCTGTGATGATGATATCGCTCACCCGGAAGGTCTGTAGTTCTGCAGGAAAGAAGTAATAAAAAAGGATTTATTAAAGAAAAATATTCATGAAATTACACAACATAAACACTGTTTACATATCCGGAACATGGGGAGGACGCATGGCATTAGTCTGTTAGTAGCCAAACCAAGTGTATTCACATTTACAGTTCTGTAGTACATATCACTATATTCAAACATGATGCAGTTAATTGTTTCTTTGAAAACACGTCCAAAGAAAACTATTGTGTTTTGCTGACAGGCTGCTCAACACATGCTGTTTCTGTGGGAACGGAGATAAAATGCGTTGTCACCTACTTGACATACATTACACGAGCTTAGTGCATTAAGAATGCGCAAACTAACTGAATGAAGTATTTCCATGTAAACCGGATGAATTTCCATGTACACTGGCACAAAATACACACAAGGTTAGAGTTCACGGGGTGAGAACGTTGTTTAACTTTCCTTCGTTGCTGGCTCATCCCATTGGCAGAACGTAACAAACGTTACACAAGGCCCTGCATGTGTGAGTATTACAAGATCATCAGCCTTGTTTTCCATAAGCGAGATTAGCTTGGTCAAGCCAGGACTCTCTAACCTCGTTCATGTTTTGTTGTTGCGTTAGATGCGTAATTTATTCGTCGGCGGATTCAACTAAGCGGCCCGCATATTAATGCTGCAACAAGGGTATGAAAGTTTCAGGAACGTTTTTCATGTCGCAGTGAGTTTTTGTGTAATACCTATGAGCGATAAAACGACCCCCGCGTTACAAATATATATATTCTTTGTTGTGTACTTGTCATTTGTATCGTTCAGTATTGCCTGCATAAGTATGTACTAATAAATTGCAATGGTGCACCTTATTGTTACATTGGTGATATTCTCGTATATGTATTTAATTTGTTTTCTTGATTCTGCTAAGCTTGCTACCGCACTGTATACCTTGATTTTTTTTTTTGCTTCCCTCCCACTGTAATGCCACTAGGCGCTGTAGGTTCGACATGAAATAATGAAAATAAATAATTAATTATTCTAAGGCATAATACGAGTGTACATTCCGGTCCAATATGCGACTGCACAACAACCTTCAAGTGCGAAAAAAGAAACAGTCTGTTGAAGTCAGTCCTCATAACATCATAACAATATTTTTCAAATTTTGATCTCGCAAATGTCAATATGAAATCCTAATTGTTGGGGAATGTGAATTCCAAAGATTTGGAAACTTCAGCATCTCTTTTCTGGTTTGCTCTAAAATTTTGGACACTTCAGCTTCTCGCTTCTGGTTAGCTATCATAGATTCTTAAGCGCTTTTTTGGCAGTTTCCCAAAATTTGGACAGTAACGTTTGCTGAAGCCTGCCTTATGTCAGTATAGAAACTTTGTGATGCAATGCGATTCGTTTTAAGCGACAAGGTGTTATGTAGGCCTTAGCAGACGCCATCAAAATTTATGCTGCCACGGTGTGTTTGTACGAGTACCTCAATGTGACGTGATAACCTGTGTAATTTCTTTCTTCCATTGTCTCCTTCGTGAAGCGTCGTATCAGAACAGGATTGTTGTTCTTGGTGTTGTTCTCAATAAGGAATTTTAATATTGTAACAATGCCTTAATTCATCTTTAACGCACCGCAAGGGGGTCATATAACGGTTTGCTTGAAACTCGACGTGCCCGCCTATTTCATTGATTCCTGTTTACATTTCCTATAATGGTGTTTCGCGTGGTATGGACACGCAGCACTTCGGGTTTCACCCTAGTTTTCAGTGACTGCGTGTTTCTGATTGAAAAGCATTCGTCAAGTAGTTCCCTCCGTTATAAATAACCAAAACTGTCCAAACATCACCGTTGTCCTCACTGGCACTTCGCTTGGCTCTTCCAAGACAGACAACATACACAGCGTCCACACCATTAAAATTCCTGCTTCTTGAAGATTAAAAGAAAAAGAACTCTTTACCTGAGCACTCTTTTATCACGGGTCTCTGTGTCCACGCCCCGACCAGCAATAAGCGCGCGAGGCATATATAAAACAATTCAGCATACATATCTCCACTGCTAACTTCAAGTTAGTGGTTGCTCTGTCAAGGTGCCGGTTATTCAAGGAAATATTCGGCGCATCAGAGAACAGGCGTTGCAGGTGACACAACGATGCTTTTCATGAAGCAATGTATGCAATAGCTGAGGTTCACCTCTACTTCTGTCACATTTAGTTTACTGAAAGCTCGACTCGCAGCTTCAATGTCATTTGAATTGAAAAGAGGCACAGTTAGGGGCCTTTTTTTTTCTTCTATTCATTGCTGATGCTTTCACAGCTGTTCGCTGCAATGCTACTAGAAACTAGGCATTGTTCTTTGTGGATAACACGCTACAACAAAGCGACAGTGAAAACTATTGCGCAATGAAATGTGGAGTAAAAAAAAAAACAATCGACTTGACATTTCCTGCTGACAATGAACCTGATGGCCATCGAAATCCCCGCTTCGCATTTTCACCTGGGTATACTTCACGGTGGTACAGTGATTACTGTGCTCATGGTAATAAGGGCTGCAGCGCGAGCACGAAGGTGCTAGAAGAAACGTGAAACTAAAGGCGAGGCAAGGAAAGCAAAGAGGACAACACGAGTGCTCTTCGCTTTCCTTGCCTCGCCTTTCGTTTCACGTTTCTTCTAGCACCTTCGTGCTCGCGCTGCAGCCCTTGTTACCATGAATTCAAACCAACTAGCCCAAATAGCCGTTCTTCTTCAATTACTGTGCTCGCCTGCTGACCCACGATACAGGCCTCGGCGGTCACATTTCGGTGAAGGCAACATGCAAGAGACTTGTGAACTTTGTGACATCCGTGCACGTTAACAAACGCCAGATGGTCGAAATTTCGGGACCCGTACACTCGTGTTTCGTGGGTTATGTTGACTCACCATACATTTAAAAGTGAGGAATCGTAGTTCCTGAGGGGAGGTGTGGGGGCGCTTTCCGCGAGATAGAAATAAAAGCTCATTTTACGGGCGAAGCTCTTTAGGGTGTGGGTTGTTCCCTTGCAATATGCTGCAGTAGGCATTTGTAATTAGTTTTAAGAATTCCTCACTAGATGGCGTTGTGTGCATACGTCCTTGGAAATAATCACCAGATGGTGCTAGTGGTTTTCGTGTAGTTTAAGATTGAAGGAGATAGATAGCACTGTTATAAAAAAATGGCAGCATATCCACGGAGGGAATAATGATGAGTGGGGCGAAACGTCCGTTCATCCGTCCGATGCGTGCTCTAGAGTGATATGAGTGGATGGGCGGATGAACAGACAGACAGGCAGACTAACGGACGGACAGACGCTTCGCCCCACTCATCATCAATGACTGCGTGAATATGCTGTGAATTCTTTTTTTTAACAGTGTTCTCGGCAATTCTTGATGTCACCCTAAGGAGAAAGAGCTTCCTATTCTAGGAGTCCTTTGGCTTTGACTGCCTTCTTGACCCTGGTGACCAATGGTCACTGGGCTTTCAGATCTTCGAGTATACGAGTACTCTCCAGCATTTACGTTGGGTGGGTTTTCTATGTTTTTCGTGTTATTGCCTATCGCTGTTTGCATGATTCTAGTCAAAATTGTGCCGAGGTGTGCATTACGTTGGAAGTTGCGGAGGGGGAGGGCGGATAAGAGATTGCACATCGACACCTTATGAGCGTGTGCGAGGTTTCGTTTAGATTTCAACAGTAACTTTATTTTTAAGCATTCCCACCCTAAAGAGCACACTCTCGTGCTCTGTTTATGTATCATCAACATCTTCATTGTCACTGATTGCGTATATCGACTTTAAAAGATTGGAACCCAGTGGTACTCCCTCTATTGGTCACTCGAAACTCCACAGTTAGCGTCATTGGCAAAAACGGAGAAAATCAGACGAAAAAAAAAACCGTTAATTTTGGGGCATAGTGAAGGGACATTGTTGAGGAATAACGACCTCGTAGTAAAAATTATCTCGATTGAATTTTTGAGGTCCTCAAATATACATGCCTAATGTTTTTCATATATGTTGTTCATGTCATTTTTATTCATCCCGAGGTACTGTGGGCGAAGAAAACTAGTTGTACGCATGGTTCCGAACTATATTTAACAATGTATAAACTCAGCCTTACTTAAGAAAGGAATGTCAAGCTTTCCACTTAGTGAAAAAAAATTGTTGTATTTTGCTGCAAATTAAAAAAAAAACATGTGCTTGCTTCTTTTCTTTGTTTTAGTGATTACTTCACATGCGATGGAACTGATGAAGGGGAGGGGAATGTTGTCTATCTGTCGAATTCGGCTTAATTGGCGTACACATAATCTCAGTACGACAAACTAATCTTTTGTCACTTTCAACAGAACGTTTACATAATGTAAGTATCTATATTGTTTTCATGCATCCTTGATCGAGAAATAGGACAGAAAGAAGTGCTCCTTTGAGGCACTGCTAAAAACATGGCTGATCTCTTTGTCACAGAAAGCGGTATATAAAAAAAAAAAACGTGCCTTCACAAAAGTAGGTGAGCTTTTATTGTGCATTGTCTTGCGACGATGGCGAAAGAATGAAAGCTATACCAACAAATAATAGGAAGTTTCAGAATAGCGCACTGCGAGCCCTTGCGGTGCGGTCGCTGCGCATGCTTCGTAACGCGAGCCGCCGTTCGCGGCCCGCCCGCAGAAAATCGGAAATTGCGGGTGGCGTGCGCGGCCGGCATGCGGCCCGTAAACGCTGGTGTCGAGACTGTGTGTAGTTTCCGTGCATTTGAGTTTGCGGGACAGCTAAAGTCCCTAGATTGTTCCCTAGGAGGGGCAAACGTTATTCTAAAACTCGTATGGTGCCCGCTATACCCGCAACACTCGCAGCGCCTGCAAACGTTATTCTAGAACTTCCTAACAATGCCGTACAAAGAACGGCAAGCAGCTCCAAACACACAACGGTCCCTTCAATAAGATATTGTCCCGTTCGTTCTTCAAGTTTTCTTATCGCCCCGTTACGCTGCACGAGATTCTCACCGCAAACCGCACCAACAGTGTTAGACAAGCTTCAGGACTGCAGTAGATCATTTCGTTGAGATTACGCCCACTTCGTGAACATTTCAGATTATTCAGGAACCTACGTCGCCCCTAGCGATAACGCTAGAATGTTCGATGGCATGCCGCCGTGGTGGTCTAGTGGCTAAGGTACTCGGCTGCTTATCCGCAGGTCGCGGGTTCGTATCCCGGCTGCGGCGGCTGCATTTCCGATGGAGGCGAAAATGTTGTAGGCCCATGTGCTCAGATTTGGGTGCATGTGCAGGTGGTCGAAATTTCCGGAGCCCTCCACTACGGCGTCTCTCATAATCCAATGGTGGTTTTGGGACGTTAAACCTCACAAATCAATCAATCTTATAGTGGTTTTGGGACGTTAAACCCCACATATCAATCAATTAAAATGTTCGATGGCAAGTGTATAAAGGCCGACACGCTTCACCGATTCTTAGTTGACCGACGGCCGACGCTGCATTCGCGGCTGACAGTCGAAGACTGCTACTGTAATCAGACTATCCATTTACCGGGCACAAGTTCACCTAAATAAACAGTTCATTATTCGATCCACAGTCTGCTCCGTTCGTTCACGTCACGACCACGTGACAATATGACGCACGCAAAGAACAAACATAGGATGAGCGTGAACGAACAACTGTCAGTGCTAGACACCTAAAGCTAACTGGTCAAACACAGGAGAGGACGCTAGAAACGAACATAAACAATTATACTCAGAACAACAACGAACTAATTAGTTTTAGGGTTGTCATTTTTTTCTTTAGAAAAACGTGCGCTGCCGCGAGCGAAGTGACCTTCATGCTCTCTATATAACTGTCAATGAGAACACAACACGTAAGAACGATATAACCACTGCCATCGAGAGATAAGTGCACGTGTTCATCCCGCGAGGCGACGATTTTTAAAGCGCGCCCTTTTACACTCTTTGTGCCTGTCGCGCCATCTCCCTAACGATGACGAAATTACGCTGAAGCCAACGAGCTAGGATTACGGCCAGCGGGAAATTGTGTGTATAAATAGCTCATCGTAGGTATGCTGGAGAACGCGTCTTTTGTGACCTAGTCGTTTCGAGTTCCGCTTTCACGAGCAAGGGGCCCTAAGTTCTACTCTCAGCACTGAAATTTTCCTCCAAGTTTTTTTTTCTAGGTCATATGTAAGTGTATATTTTACAACGTCATATCCGTGGCGTGAAGGAGCCAGTGTAGTCATGGTGAACCGCGCACTATGTCCAGCGCCTCACAAACAAGAGAACGATTTAAGATCTTAAGCAAGTATTATCAGAAATATTTTCTTGTGTTGAAGCAATAGTTTCCCCCAGCTTGGGCAAACACTGCCCTGTCCTGTACTTACGCCGATGGCAAGCTGTATCCAAACATTCAGCCTTGTGCGCATGGACATTTCGATCCTCGTTGTTGGAACAGGACACTGGTCATTCCAGAAACTTTGAGTGTTTTTGTCAGTACCTGCAGCGGTCTTACAGAGTTTGTAAGTGCTGAAAAAGGGGAGTCAATGTTGGTCATTCTAACAGTGCGTAATTTGTGATTATTTCAAAGGTATGCGCACCGGAAAAAGGTATAAAATGCTTTGAAAGTACGGTAACTGAAAACATCAAAAATGAATATGATTGAACTATATTTCTATCAGCAAAGGCTTGTGAGAATGTTATATTGATGCACCATGCGTGGTGTAGTTGAATATTTCGATCACTCTGTCTTGAAACACCTGAAATATATCGTCCCGTTCGATAGTTTTTACTCTGACCTGTATGTAGCTCATATAGTGGCACATTATACTCTAGGCAGTAATTCATGTGTTCAATTTGCGGTGACGACATCGTAAGCATCCACATTATATATTCATCACTTGTGTGTTGCTAGACTATCGTAACAGCAAAGCGGAAGCAAGATTTCGTTCGCGACGAAAACGCAAAATTATATAACTTTGGAAAGCAGACGAAATGAGTCGTCTTAAAACGGCTCCTAAACAACCTCTGGAAATTCAAAAAAAAAAAAAAAAAACGAGCGTGCCATTCTGTCGGTGTTTTTCGTCCTTGTGGCGAACACCGTCACGCAAGAACGGGAATTCTCGTGACGTCCTAAGGGTACATAGCCTTCATTGGATCATATAAGAGGAAGATCAGTTGTTGACTTTCTCCTACTCTGCTTTACGAAGCAGTGGCCCACCTGTTATTCTTATCTAGCAAGACTGCCG